TAGGGATGAAGAAGTACTTGGACGGCCCCATGGACTATGCGAAAAAGCTGAAATTGCAATTTCGAGTAGGCGATCTGGACTTGCCAGAACGGAGGAAGAGGTATACCAGCCGTAGGAGAGAGGAAGAGGAGGATAGACACACATGTCCATGTGGCAAATCGGAGGAGAGTAGACCCCACATAGTTGGGGAGTGTGAGTTGTACAGGAAGGAAAGAGAGGATCTCGAGGAGGAAATGAGACAGAGAGGGTGTGACATGGACAAGTTTGGTAAGTTAGACAACAGCGAAAAAACGATCGCGATAATTGGGGATAGATGGTGGGCACAAGAGGCCCTAGAGGACGGGGATAAGATGTGCAAGAAATTTTTATGGAGTTTGTGGCAGAAACGTAAAGAGCTCCCAAATGTTGGTGGTGTCTCTAGTAGGTGTAGGAACGGTGCTCCGTCTCGAAAGGGACGCGTGGTCAATGGTCAAATGACTACGGCAAGCAACAAATGAGTACGCCCCCCCCCCCCCAAATGATGGTACCCCCCTCGGCGTTCCTCCGTCACCTCCTTGATCTGGAGCTGCTCCTGCTGCGGGACACCAGTGGTGGTTGTACCCCCCCGTCTCCACTCCACCACCAGAAAGTCCGCGCCGTCGCCGCCGTTCCTCACCCTTCGCACGGCCTCCTGGACGGAGGTCAGCACGGACGGTGCGGTTGCGGCCTGAGTCGTACGCTGCTGCTGGGCGGAGTCCCTCGACTTCGGCTCGGCCACCACGTCTATAGTATTCGCCTCTCCCTCTCCGCCCGCCTTTGCTCCTCCCGTGCTGCCGAAGCGGCTGAGCGGGTAGGTGCCAGGAGGTGGGGGGTACGTGGGAGATGGCGGGTATAACATTAAGGGTCTGTCTCGCTTTGGCTGTATTCCGTTGCACAGCGGAGTTTCACGGAAGCGAGGGGAATGGTTCTGGTGAAACTGGGGTTGTGATTTTCGTCGTGTGGCTAGCTGCCCATGACCACTATTTTATGTGGTCGAGCACGCATCGCGAAGTCGGGAGGGGCATCGGCTATGAGGAGCGATGTAGAGGCAACAGGTCCTGGAGATGAGACTAGGCCTTTGCCTGATCCACATTAATTCTCGAGTAAAACACACTCGGGATTGTGCTTTGCACGATTTGTGGGTACGCTATTTCCATTAGCCTAAAGAGGTAAGTGGTGTTTTATTGAAGTGAAGACTACAGTGGTCTTATCAACATCCCGTCCGCACGCAGAGCAAGTTCCACACCGCTCGTTCCCACTGAGAACGCGAATTTCTCGGCTTGTGCGAAAAGCAACTTTTCCCGCCAGAGGCTACCACCCCACTTCGAACAAATCACCTGCTGCCGCTGCTGCTGCCGCTGCTGCTGCCGCTGCCACCACTACCACTGGTGCCAATGCTCTTGTCTTCGCCGCTGCCCTTGGAGATGAGGCTGTTGAGGAACATCCTGGGGAAGTTGCTCTTCTCCTCCTCCGACGGCGACTTGGCCTTCTTTAGGGCGTCCGCCCTGATGACGATGCTGTTGCCGAGGGAGTTAGTTCGCGTCTTTGCCGCTACGTAGACGGGCCTCATCGCGGAGTCGCCCTCATCCGCCCGGTCCGAAGCCGGGCTCACCAGCAGGTTGTCGCCGGTGCCGCTGCTGTCTCCGTCGTCGTTGGCACCACTGCCGCCGCCGCCGCCGCGGCCCCCGCCCCCGCCCCCGCCCCCGCCCCCGCCGCTGCCGGAGACGGCCGTAACGGCGGTGTCAGGTGCCAAGGTGGAAGCAGCCTTCGCCGCATCCACCGGCGGCGGCGGCTGC